TATACTGGATTAGATTTTTAATACATTTCTTTTTCTCCATACTTTTCATTTACCTATTTTATTGGATTATACCTAATCAACGTTTAGAATATTGATACTGAGTGGAATCAAATTATGAAATCCCACAGAAGTAACATTCCGTGTCTTACTGTTACATCTACATTCTTCTGTCAGTTTTTAAATTATTCATATTAACGGCAGACCAGTTAAATATCATTTTATTCTCTCTACTATTCAATACTGTTCAGATTATTATTTACTTGAAACTCTATTTGTGATGATGAATTTTTCTTCAGAAATTGGAAACCAAATCAATCAGATGATTTGAATGCTCATGTGAAGCATAAAAGCCGAAACTCAGGATTTGTCTGAAATATTGTAATATGCTAATGAATAAAAATAATGACCAATCAACTACACACACAGAATGCTAAGGTTTTTGTGGGCTTATCGTTCTCGAAAATGCTTACAGGAAATGTGACAAAAAGAATAAATAGCAGCAACAATAAATAGTGTATTAATGGACAATACATTAGTTTAAGGGAAATGAACAATTGAGGTCTCAGTTGAAGTAACATTGTCAAGGACATAAGTTGTACTACATTTTAATAATAAGTAGTTTAAAGTTGGATCCATAAAATAGAGTAAGGGAAACACTAAAATATAGAGAAACTAAGCTTAGTCTGTGAGAACAAACAGTAATATATGTGCATATCAACTTAGCTACTACCAACAATAGGTTAATGCAGTTTTGTATACATGAACAAACACTATATGTGGCTTGTTGATATGACACATTTTCTTGATGTGGATTGTAATTTTTTTTATCAGATAAAGAGAATGACATCACTTTAGCAATTTGATGACTCCTCTAAGAAACAGACAATATTTGAGATCGGAAAGGAATCATCAATTAATAAATAATGGTATTTCATATACTGTTTCCGTTTCAAGGTCAGTAGTTGTTTATCGTACAAAAACAAGCTCAAACGATTCAACTGAAATTAGGATCTTCTGTTATTACCTTAAACTATGTCAGCTTGTACTTGTAATGGAAAGCAAATTAGAAGAACGAGATGGGTCCTTGTGGATTCAATTTCTGAACGTGTAAGAGCAAAGTACCTTTGAGAGAAAGAAAATTACCAACATTGTGGCATAGGCAAATATATTTTTAAGCATGAATGCTTCAGTAGATTCAAAAAATCCTCTCCATGATATTAACAGATACTAAAAATGTCAATTCAGTTAACATGATGGATCAATGATGGCAGTTATCAATCATACGGTTATAATGAATGATTTTTCAGATCTAGAGCATATTATATTGTTATCAGTAACTTTCTTCTCAGGTTCCTTAGTCATATAACACGATAGATTAATTCAAACATAAGTGTATGTTAGATATTTTTATAACAGTTAGTCGTTAATATCAGTTAGTTTTGCTGTTTGATACGGGAAAGACTTATATCGAATCAAATATCACTGGAACTCAATGGATTTATTTATACAAATGATAATATCTCTTATGAAACACTGGACTCTGGAACTTAACTATTTCGGAGATTTTTTATTCCTGGAAAGTTATTCCAAACGAAAGGGGATTTTAAAAGTGCCAGTTGATTGCTGTTACAGTCGAAAATAAATTCTACTCACTTCCCTTGTGTTACTCTATGCAAAGAAACATTAACATTAATGGAGAGGAAATAAAACGTGAAAATGAAAGAAACCGATAAATTGTTAATTGATAATTCAAACATTGACGCAGCATAGTGCTCACCAATTTGTAGATTCAAAAACTAATCAAAGTTGTATTCTTAACTGAACCTGCTTTTTTTGCAAACATTATTCAGGCTACTTTTAATTTTTAGGGCCATAACATTTAGGTCTGGATTATTTATTATTGGGTAGATCTTGGCAGCCGAGTGCAGACACGATAAATGAGAGAAAATGAATGAATCATATTAACTTTATGGTCTGTTTGTACTAAATCGGTTTCTGTTGAACAATTTAAAGCATCCATTACTTCTTTGCCTAGCCCAAACGAGATATATTCTTGAACACGACAAAGTAAATTCCTAGAGTGATGAAAAACGTAAATGTTTTCAGTAGAGTGGTTAAATGGATAAATGCATCAAGTATGAAAACTAGGTATGTCAAAAGTACCAGTCGATATTTTACTGGGCTAGAAGTTTTGGGTACAGATTTTCATACATTGGGAATCACTGATACAAACACTGAAAAGACTCATCGTTAACATTAAGTGGACCAGAAATTCTCTTCAGAAGAAATTTAGTCGATAGGTAATGTTAAGTTTTCCATTATTTTGTTAGCATTAATCCGATGCTGAAATCTAAACAAACAGCTGACATTCCCATTTGTACTGATTATTAACAGTAGAAATTCCATTTTGTTTGGTCATTCACCAGCTATAAACAAAGACCAATACAGTATGAAAAACTTTGTTTCTGCTCTGCCGTATTTGAGCTACTGAAAATAAATTCACAAAACCTACAGTCTGATGTTAGGATGGTTTCTGACTTCTCCGAAATCATAAATATACTGGATCACTTCATGAAAAAGCAAAACCAGAGATACGAAACTCAAATTACACTTAGTAATATTTATTCAAAATATTTGTAGTCAGTAAAATTTTGTACTGACACCACATTCATTTTGCGATAAGATATACCAAAGGATTGACTTGCTGCAGACATCTGTATAATAACAGTGCCAGATATATTAAAATCTCTGTCGGTAACAACTTTGAATTCCTGAAGGTTGGTAAGGGTTTTGTTTAATCTTGCTAATACAATACCGAGAAACATCATCAAATCGTATTTCTGTATGAATGACATTACGACAGACGCATCTTGTACCAAATCAGGACTCAAAATATAGCCGACGCCAAAAAATATGGAGATAGTAATCCCATGGATATTCTTCAGAAGAAATAGCCCAACGAGAACTGTATTCGTAACCAGATGGTCGGACGACTATTGATGTTTTATGAAGGGAACCACCTGCAAACGACTTCATATTCCATTGGCCAATCGACTTCACTAAATTAATTGTATTATTTGGATGGAGGATATAGTCATTATCAATAAATAAAAGCAATGAGGTCTTTTGTTTACAAAACACAGACGCCCAACGAAAGGCTAACATCATTTTTGTGGTCAAATTGAAGTAGGTATCATGATATCCAGCGCCAGCAAATCTCCATAAAATTTGCTCTCATTTGTCAAATGTCATACGGTAGCCAAACTAGGTGAATCCAGTTTTCTGATCGCCGTGACAGTATCACATTTGTTTTATTGAAGTGATACAAGATTTTATTCTTCAACGCCTGTAGCCCGACGACAAACACAAATTGTATCTTGAAATTATTCCATTCACTCATTTTCATGTATGTTTCACGTGCTTTTACTCGATATTTATAACAATATACGCATGACTTAATGAGAACAATTAAATCCAGCTTCTGATCATTAAGAGAAGGTTGACAGACACTTCTTGGCAACTCTATCACCGTTAGAGCATCATTGTTCACCAGCATCTAAAATTGTCAGCCAGAATAATTAGGATTATCTTCGTCAAAATATGGGTGCATTTAAGCCACCAATTGACAGTATGGACTAATCATATAGTAAATATTTAAATAAAAAGTTTCATGCTCAAAAGTGATATTTATGAGATTTAGTTACATATCTATGAGGATATGCATTTCAGTGTGATCCAAAATGATAATGATGGTGATTATAAAGGTGAGTCCCTTTTTAAAGTTGCTAAGAATTTAGAGAAATTTACTTTGAACAAACTAGAATATTACTGAGGAAACAAGTGTAACACAGTAATGTTAGTGAGTACAGCTTACTTTAAATACTTTCTTAGCTTGTTCACAAATAGAACAGTAGGAAAGTATCTTCGTTTCTCACGATGACAAAATTTATCGTTAAAATCAAGCGTAACATGGATTGTCGATGATGTAAACCAGCTAAACTAGGGGAAAATTATTCAAGAGACATTTAAAAGATATTTAGGTAAATATTTTTAAAGAAGGAGACTTTGAATTATACAGGGATGAGAATTTTCTAAAAGTGGAAAATTAACACCATTCATTTAAGAACTCTTAACTATGTTTAGTTCTTTTAATGGTAACAACTTTCAAAAAGCCTATACATTAGTGTACTTCTATTTATTGATTACTGTAAACAATCTCAGGTTTTGTACATTATACCTTCAAATGGGAAAGGGGTAAGCAAAGTCACTGCTGTGTGAATCTTGGTCTTAATTTCTCAATTTCTCAAAAATGTCACTAGTATTTGCAGATCATGTTCTTTCTCTGTTATTTGAGTGTGTATCCTTTGGTGACTACACTAAAATTTATGTATTTAGTTGGATGTAATAAGATTAAAATAATTTTACACTTTCTGACAGTGTGGTTTCACATGTATATTTCTGAACATTTTGTTCATAATACGTTTTTCCTTCTCCTCTTTCTTCAGTTAATTATAACTTTAATAACAGTATTAAACGCCGAAATTCTACCTCTGGTTAAGACCAGCAGAATGAGTTTTCATGCAAATCAAGTAGTGTTTATAACGCTCTTTTCTTCACGAAAATAATGTTTGATATATTTATCATATTAGGTAGAATATTTAAAGTTGGATTGCGGAAAATTCAAAACTTAGATTTTACGTATCTTAAACAAGTATTTGTATTCTCACGGAAACTTGCATAATACTGGTCTACCATTTATTATTCTCTCTCATTGTGCATGAAAGTTTTCATTACAGAAGTCACCTCTGCTAATTAGTAGCAGAAAGGACAAAGTCGTTTCCATATGATTTTTGAAGGTTACCTTCTCTTCCCTGAAGTCATGCTATGTATGTATATATTATTACTTTAAGCTGCACCAACTTTTCAATCCACCATTAAGATGTTCACATTTATAAATGTATGTTTTAACGTTGTTATGTGAACGCTAAACTTGGGATGGTTCATGAGTAAGTGGATATACTATGTGTTGTCTGGAAGTGAGAATTGTATAACTCATCATACCTACATTACATGCATATATATATATATATATATATAAATGGTCATTTCATCTAACATACCTCATTCTCTTCAGATCCAAACATTATCCCATTTAAATGTAAAGTCATATTAAAATATTTCGGATGATGTCTAGAAAATGCAAATTTAGTGTTGTTTCTTCCTTCATCTCTCTGTGAAACAATCTCATCATTCTTCACCACATACACCTCGTTTAATTCATGAAGTGTATTTTTTAGCCTGGGTTTCACATTGATCCGAAGCTTGAAGTTGAACATTTCTACAGCTGTATCCATATATTGTATGGATACAAGTGAAAAAGGGAATAATCCTGTTGATGGCAGAAACCTTATTGGTGACTTATTATTAATTAAATTCAAAGATTTAGTGAATAGGATCCATGAACTTTCTGATGCTGTAATTTTTACTAGAGCTTCATTGATATGAAATGATTCACTTAAGTTGAGTGATGTATATTTTCACTGGGAATATGATGGTATATGTAAAGATAAAAGAGCAGTAAAATAGCAAAAATTGATAAAACTGGTCCCCTAGATATACTTCTGTAACAGAAATTAATGAAAATTTTCATTCCAATATGATGTTTAAAATACGATTTTTTTGCCAGAAATAATTAAAGTGCCTACAGACTCAAAATATGTGATTCAGAATAATTTACCTTCTAAGTCTATTATTTATATAGAAATGCTGGTACTATCAACTCTCTGAATACTCGTTAATTCAGTATTTAATTATGAAAAGAAATTGTTGACCCTTATTTCCATTTTTACTTGACCTGAATAAACAAAATTTTGTGTTTCACCTCTACAAGGTATTCATACTATAAAGGAGATAATATAGAGTAGAGTGCAAGAAACGATCTAAAGTGTGATGAAATCAGCGATCATTACAAATTATACTTTGCTATCAATGATTCCGTTCATATGGGTCTCATAATGAAAAAAACGTATTCACGAAAGTGAAGTAGTCTTGTAATTCCTTCCTACAGCACAAGAAACAGCTGACATGATTAGTCTTTACAAGCATAGATATCATACATGATCTATCTTCGATGCATTTTCTTTTGATTCATTTGTCAACCAGCCTGTTATTGATGTGGAAAACATCTTGATTAACTGAGTTTATATGAAGAAAGACAGTTCGTGTTTGATGACAGTCAGCCTGTGTTGGCTGACAAAATTGAACATTCGTCAAACTTGTCGTTTATGTATCACTTGATTTTGTTTTCTTTTCAATATACCATCGCCTTAAAACAACACTTTTAATCAGTGAAATATCTTGAAGGAGGAGATTACAGTTATTTTTGTTAAGACTGAAATAAAGTTCAATAAAGAAATAACTGTGTTTCATCCATGCAACAGGAATAACAACACTGAACTAAATTTCATAACCAACTGTGAAATATCCACTTGCATAAAGACAACAGAAAGATCAGTCTGTATAGGAATATGAAATCCAGCATTCAGCAAAATTATATTATTGCTTACAGCACATGGTTATTTAAGTCCTTCCGTACACATTTCCGATGTAGGTCATTCTTTCTTGTATTTATTCCCATTTATTATTCATTAATTATTTGTTTATTATTATTTAGAAATGCAACAATTTATGCAGGTTTTGATTGCTGAAGAAGCAGCTTCCATGAGGTCATGAAACGTCAGAAATTTATGCTGCCTATCTCATTGGGATTTTACAAATATGTTTTTCATACGCCGCTTACCTAAGGCTCAGTTTATTTAATTCTATCATGTCGAATGTCTTTATGAAATCTGTACAATTGTCAACTAAGTTGAATCAAGAGTATTTTGATAAGATTAACAGTCAAAGTAACCATGAGACGTAAAGAATAGCTAACAACAGCCACATTCTATCGTATTTACATTATGGCATATTTTATGGTCAACATAGTACAGAGTAATGACAGTCTGACTATGTGAACTCCATATTGGATTTTTTTATTTGATATATTGTAACAACCAGTTATTGATAAGTTTTCGTCTAGCCTGTAGATAGGTACAGGAGGCGCGCAGATCAGGTGAGTTTGATGGTGGCCACGAGAATCTGGAATAGGAAAAAGGAAGAGAAGAAAGGTGGTCCGATGACTCAGCAAGTACATAGGATGTACTTACATTTAGTAATAAGGGATAACTGACAAACGGTAGAGCTGGACAACGAAGAGGTGAGGCAGTCTAGAAACAGAAAATCTTAGGTGAATGAGTAAGATTTCGAATGCGCTACAATATAACACACAGTGAGACAGTATTATTTGCTTGATGACGTTTCGAGCATAAATTATTGCTCATAATCATATCATTGATATATGATGCTGGAAATGTCATCAAGTAAATTATAATCTATCACTGTGTGTTTTAAATCAAATAAACAAATCTCAAGTTTTACACTTATATCAGCTATGTGAACATTGGATAACATTAATTACATTCAATAATTGATTTCATTTAGACTTCCTCAATATACATCATTTCTTTCATTATTTTTCATCAATGGACTTCGTTTCTGTCAATCATACAGATAGGTAGATTGAATTTCTTTGTATACATCCAACAGTTTTTTATAGATGAATGTAAGGTGAAAAGGTGATGAAGTGCAACGAATTTACCGTATTCGACAAAATTTGCCATTCCAATTGCCTAGTAATTCAAAATAGTGATCAGTAACTGGAGACTTAGACATCTTGACGCTTATTCCTTCATATTATGGACGAAATTGATGTTGGTGTAATGAGTTGAAAAATCAAAATACTAGTTTGAAATCATCTTTCCTGCTAAATAGGAATATAGACAATATTATTTTTGAGACTTTAGAATAAAGCAAACTTCATTATGTCGAATGATACAACGTTGATCGCAATTTCAAATTTTATGACAGTAAGTTTCTAATCGTGACAAAATTTATGGCCTAGTGAATTTTCACAAGCTCAACATTTGGTACAGAGAACAACATCAAAGTTTAGAGACCGATTACATTTTAGATGAAACTAATGCATGACTAAAGTGATGACAGATATCTCAAGACAATTCTTTGGTGTCTTGAGAGTATGTTGTGTCCCCATGGTAAGAGATATTTCTAAGGTAATGAATGAAAGGCAGCTGCTAACTTGATATAGTGGTCAGGCTTGTTTATCGCGATGAAGAAATAAGCTATGCTGACTGCAGTGATTGTTTCTTGATGGCTTTTCATCCCAAAAGAGTCTACTGGTTGACAGTACTACTTAGGCCAACTTTTGCCGTAATGTAAACAGCTTAAGCTCTGATGCGTTCAACGGCGAAGTTGTAATGCTGGCCGAACAAATGTGATGGAAGTGAAGTGTCTCCAGTGGAGGACCAGCAGTCCATGCTCATGCTGTCTTCCCTACTAAAAGTAGGATTGGTGAAGATTGGCCCCCGAAGTAACACGTTCCCCTTCCCTACGATATTTCAATCCCAGCTGTACATGTTTCCTTTGTCCTTTGCAAAAACAATGACATATAAAGTCAAAAACCTTACAAAAGCTCTGTATGACTGGTTTACGACAGATGTTCTTTCACCCACCATCATGCTGAACTAACTCATTTACACTTTCACGAACCTTATGAAAACAGCTTTCACAGTGTTGGCTATCGGAATGCATCAAATGCCTCCACGCTTCCAATAGTATCTGAAACCTTACTTAACCTTAAAGGTATTTGTAGCATGCATTCTACATTGCACGCGTTGATACATTTAACACTGGTCTTAGAAACTAATAACTGTTTAACTTTCTCTATATTGAGACTTAAACTTCTTGTCCGCTGATTTCAAACTTACAGTTTATCAGTAAAACAATTCCCCATGTTTAACTATGCATTGTCTCTTACTTATCACCTACTAATTCAAGTTAATAGGTAGTGTTTTAGATTTCAAGATGAGCAACCATACCTCGGTAGTTGTGATACATAGATTTGAGTCAGAGAGCAGCCAATGCCTTCCTCCTCTCTTAACTTGGCTATCTGTTACTGTTACCAGCATGTTACCTTTTATATTTTCATAAACACCTCCCTACAAAGCCATCGTTAACGACTCAAACCAACAAAGAGAGCATTTCTAGTCTGTAGAAAGACAGCATCTGAGCACCTACTGTTAGCGATCACGATGATGAAAAGGGTGAATTTAGCCGATAACTCTTAATTTCATCACTCAAAGCAAAATGTTTGGATACAATTCAACTAGTGGGGGGGCTTAAAAGTTCAAGTAGGAGGGCTGGGTCAACTGAAAATGTACCTGAGAGTATTTATGAAATCACTTACTGAAGAATCGAAGATGGCAGTTATTTCTTGCAATCTCGCTTTGAAAACTAGTTGGTTCAGTGTAGTTATGATACCTGGGTTTTACTTGATTTACATGTCTTCACCGGATTTCTAGGTAAACTTGCACTCCATAAAGTGGTGTATCGATTTCGTACTTGGTCGGTTTTGTTCGCTGTTGACTTTTAACTTGTTATGCTTCGTTTATAACTATATTACTAAGGAAGAAATCACCACTTTAGTGTCACCACTAATTTCTTTCCAACTTAGAGGTAGATAGCGTGGAGGTAAATATTTCTTATACTACAGTCATACACGCATTCTTCAAAGATTTTAAACTCCACCCTTGGATATTCAGTGGGCTTCTGTAGATTACTACAAAGCTGGCATCGACTGTTTTCAGCGGTCCTGTCGAAACCATTTTAGTGAATCCACAAATTTTTCTGGTTGATCATTTTACTACAGGTAGTAAGGTAATAGTAAGGTAAATACTGGATTACATTGTGTTTGAGAACATGCGAAATAAATTGTGTTTCTTTCTCGGAAACTTGTTTCATCCAATAAAATGATTGAAAGCAATCTATGTAATCAGATTTATTCAGAAGGACTATTTCAGCTCATTTGCCAGAGTCTATCACTTTTCGATGGATCCCTCATCTGATTTCGATGTTTCTTTGACAAGTGCCGAATATTAGATTTTCTGGGTATATAATTCATACAGTAATGTAAAAGAGTTGAAATTTGTCAAAATGTTTAGATGAGATTAGAACTAGGTCTTTTATCTGATTAACTAGGTTCTCTAACTGGACGTTTGTGATGAGCTAATCAACTTTTGAAGTTGCTTCGCAGAATTTTAGGCCGAGTGATTAGGCGTAGATTTGAATCAAGGATAGTCACAAAACTAATCGAGCTACCCGAAAGCAGTCAGATTAAGACATATTGGCATAGTTGAGGCATTAGCAATTCAAAAGTTCAAACCGTTAAAGAAGTGTA